CACAGAAAACAAGTATCATTGGATTGCAAAATCAGGTTAACATTCAGGGTTGACCCTACATGCCAGTTGTCCAAGATAGAAGGACAGTCAAGTATAGCAGACAACAAACGTAGGAATCTACATACCTTTGATAAATGCAAGTTTCTATTCAGGCTTTCTGGATGAGGACAAGAGCCTGCATTTCTAACAACAATCTACTGTTGTTAGTATGTAGAAACACTAAGATGCTAAAATTGGATTGCTATTGTAGAATCTAGCTGGGAGGTAGGAATTGATAACAGTGATGATAAAAAAGAAGAAAGAATTCAAGATACTAGAAAATGACAACATTCAGTAATATAAAAAAGTAAAATAAATGTTAGTTGGTTTTCCTAACCTAGCATCTCACCAAGTGATCCTCCAGGAAATTTTTGTTACCTGAGTGTAATTGAAGCCACTGAGGTGAGAACTAGAATCTTGTTTGTACCATATCCAGTGTAGTAGGACTCATTTTTCTTACTTCCTGACTGCAGCCAATGGACTGATCATCTTTTGTCTGTTGTGATGGTTGCATAGATTTAGATGAAGTGTGACCAACCACAGATGTGGGTGGGGGTCCCTTCTGAATGCTGTGGATATGCTTTATTGCCATTAGTTAATAAAGGAGCTGCTTTAGCCTATAGCAGGAGAGAATAGAACTAGGCAGAAAAACTAAACTGAATGCAGAGAGAAAGAAGGCAGAGTCATAGAGATCCCATGTAGATGCCAAAGGAGAAAGACACAAGAAACTTACCAGTAGACCACAACCTCATGGTGACACATAGGTTAAAAGAAATGGATTAATTGAAGATGTAAGAGTTAGTTAATAAGAAGCCTGAGCTAATATGCCAAACAATGCTGCAATTAATATAGTTCCTCTGTGATTATTCAGGTCTGGATGGCCGGGAAATGAAAGTGCAATCACCATTTACATAATGGCTCCCAACACGGGGCCGAAGGAGAAAGACACCCAGAAACTTACCAGAGAACCACAACCCCATGGTGATATAGATGAACAGAAATGAGTTAATTGAAGATATAAGAGCTTACTAGGAATACGCCTACGCTATTGACCAAACAGTGTTGTAGCTCATATAGTTTCTATGTGATTATTTGACTCTACATAACTAGGAAATGAACAAGCAGTCTCTGCTTACAAATGGTGTCCACTGCCATGCATGGGTGTCTATAAGACCTAAACAAGCTTAAAACAAGAGGACTTCATGACTCATAAAAAAATGGAGCCAAGTACAGTTTCTTGGTAGCTGCATATTTTTAGATAGTCTCTGCTTGCTGGCAGCAAGTAGAGGTGCAACTCCTTTAAGAGAAGTCTTCCTGACTCAGTGTTAGCAGCAAAATCTGCTTGGTTCCTCTAAGTAACAGCTTCCTGGTTCATACTGGCAGCACAAATGGATCTGGCTCTTTCAGGAGATCCTGCTACAGAACACTCAGGGTTTGTGAGCAGAGTGCTGCAAGTTGTTTGAAGGCAACATAGACCTGCTGCATCCCTGGAACTGGGTCAGTGATCATGACTCTCAGATGTTGTAAACATACTTTTGCCATGTTGGATGGGGTCGAACCAACAGGTAGGGTTGTAAAGTTAGTCCTAGCCATGCTTGCTTAGCACAGAAAAAGAGAAAAGAAAAGAAAAAAGAAAAAAAAGGAAAATGGACAAAATGGCGCTCCTGGTCAGAAAATTATTACAGTTACAGAATAAAGACAAATTCATACAAAAAATAAACCTCTGAAAGAGTCACAGGGTGTTTAGAAAATGTATGTAATTTTAATAAAAAATAAAAAGAAAATGTGTATAAGCAGTTATAGAAATAATTTTTAAAAATAAAACCATGTCTTTAAAGAGACAGTAAAAGTAATTTAAAAAAAAAGAATATAGACAGTCATAGATTAAGGAAGTAAAGATAATAAAATAAATATTAAAAATGAAGGGTAAAAATTAAGCCACATAAAGATAGAAAATACATGGAGTCTGGATTGTGTATATTATTGTATTTCTTTGAATTTTTGGCTGTGAATGAGTTAGCTGCAATAAGACTTTTATTTGTACTGACTGTTAAAACAAACCAATATATATATTTTGAAGACATCTTCACTTCAAAATATGGTCTATGGATATGCTGCTTTGGAAAAGAAGCTCTGCTTTTGTTTCCACAAAAGATGAGAATCTGTGAATTCCTTTCAGGCTAATGTGTTTTGATGGAACAAGATCTGCCAAAAGGTCTCCATGAACCCTAGAAATACTTCACCCAACAAGCAACAGGAAGCAATTTGGAGAAAACTATGCCTAAGTTCTGAAAAGGATTATTTATATTTGTTTTCATTTAAAAGGGGTCAATGTCTTAAAAAAATAAGGGGCATATGATATAGAGATGAATACTTTGCATTGGTATGGATCTTGGTCTATTGATATAAATTTAAGGTCAATTTTGTTACACTGTGTATATGTATTTTTGCTCTTGTTTAAGGTATTGTGTTTGTGCAGCTCATTTAAAAAATATAGTGTATAATTAAAATTACATATTAATAGATAGTCATCTATAACAAACTTTTAATTATGTTAGTTAGTTTTTCTAGATCTACAGAGATAAATGTATTTCGGTTAGATAGATAATCTTCAATACTTCAAAGACCTAAAGAATATAACACTCAAAAGGTTTTAAGAAGTTATACTTTTCTCAACAGTGAGACATGTCTGCTTCTGGCAGCACCAATTACTTCAGAGAGTTGATGGGAATCAAAGAAACTCATTATAGATTTGGTCTTCAATGTGACAAGGCTAGCCATTTGGGCATGTAACTGTTCTTTTCTGGACTGCTTAATGGTGTACCGTATGAAGTGGACATGCAGGATCCATAGCAAAGTGACTGCTAAACTTTCCAAAGGACCTGATGGTCCTTCAAAGTTCCTGTTTTACAGGACAAAGAACAAAGAAGGTGGAGTCAGAGAGACACCATGTAGCTGCCAAAGGAGAAAAACACCCAGAACCTGGTAAACCACAGCCTCATGGTAATACATAGATGAATAGAAATGGGTCAATTTAAGATATAAGAGCTAGCTAGGAGTATGCTTAAGCTATTGCCCAAATAGTGTTGTAATTAACAGTTTCTGTGTGATTATTTAAGTCAGGGCGGCCAGGATATGAATGAACAATCTCCATTCACAGGTATCTGGTAGGCAGCCTGAAAAATAACATTCTTAATATCTGGTTTGTTACTATTATTTCTATTCCTACTAGTCTTTTCTGATCCTAGGGGTACAATTCAGTGATGGAGCACTCATGTTGCATGTGGAAGTAATAATAATAGTAATGAATAATAATACTAAAGTAATAGTTATAGTAGTAATAGTTATATCTCCCCCCAAATACTGAGATTTACAGTGCTTAAGATATCAGTTCCCCAATAGAATGCAAATTACCTCTGTTAATCTTCCTAGTGAAACATCAGGCAACTGATGTTTCCTAATAAATAAAAAAATCTAATTGCTTCCTTGGTAGGTTTGATGAGCCAAAAAAAGATGTATAAACATGCATTCATATAAACATATCTGAATGCATATCTGAACAACTTGAGAATGAACATCTTGAGAGGCACCATGTATAATTCCCACTGGTAAACATACAACATGGAAGTGATAATACCGATTGCAAGTTATGAAGATGGCTCTAGTCACAAGACATAAATGTGCAGTGACAGTCATTTTAAGACATTATCAATCCCATTTCCCTTTGAAAACTTCACTGTTCATACCGCCTCTCAGTCTCACACTGCCTCTTCATGGCAGGCCACACTCCAACCATACTTCAGGGTGCTTGCTCAGTGATTGAACTCAGTTGCAGGCCTTGTTGTTGTAGCAAATTCATTTATCTCATGAATGAGAAAATAAATGTTTGCATTGAAAATATTCATCTCAACCAGGGAGCTGGGTCTCATGCTTACAAAGTAAGAAATCTGAGGAATTATTTGGAGGAAGGAAATTACAGCATTTTTTGTGCTTGTTTCTGTGTGACTAATTGTGTTCATGTGATCAGGTATTCACAATGACCTGGAGCAGGGGCAATGACGTTAACTGTAACAGAGGTGGCCTGGCTTCAAATCTCTCTCTAACTCTTGATGGCCATGGAATTGAAGAATAGTTACTAACTCATTGCGACTCAGTGTCTTCATCTCTAAAATGAATTTGATAATAAAACCCTCACATCATAGGGCCATGTTCATCAGCTGTAGACAAAAACGGTTTGCAGTACCTGTGATCCACTGTGGTCTTTGCCACTGAATCTCGATGCTTCTTTGGTTAAGCAGACCCCACTTTGCCAACAGAAATCTGTTTACATGCTAGTGTTTCTTATTCATTTTCTTCTAATATGTGGTTGGAATAACAAGATGACTATGTGATAGATATTCATAGAACATTTTTCATATTCTCAGAAAGTCAAAATAGAGCCATAGGATAAGCAATCGGCAAATATTTCATTGGAGGGAGCCTCTGACAGCAGCTCATAAAAAACAAGCAGTGTATCTAAGAAAATGGTTTTAAAAGAAATGTGTTTAGAGACACCACAGAATTTGGCATAATCCCACTTGCCTGTTTCATTCTATTTCTACTGTCAGTCCTGCACCAAAAGCTAGATCAGATCTGGAATTTTAGAACAAGCCGTGTTTCCCAAGTCTGCTTTCCATTATCCTAAGCAAAATCTGTTTCAATATTTAAAACTCAAGGAAACGGAGGAAAGCAAAGCATAATTTTTCTAGCTAAAGATGCCCAGTGAGTATGTGGAGAGTCTCCTGGGAAATTGCAGCCCCTATCACTGTGTTCCTGTCTTAGATTTTAAGGTGGCCCAGAATAGCCTAGAAGAGTTGGGTTTGGAGCCAGTCCTGGACTGGGGGAATTTCCACTCAAGAGCTCTGAAGATCTCAGTCCCCTGAAGCTACCCCTCCTACCCTGAAGCTACCCCTCCTACTCACCAGAGCAAGCGTGTTGCAGGCGATGGAAAAAGGCAAGAAACTGAGTTGGCAACTACGAAAGGAAGCTGGCAATCAAAAGGCTGCGAGCTCATCACAACTACTTTCTTCCTCCTAAGCTTCTACCATCTGACCTTCAGCGTAGTAAAAGAAAAACACCATGATATTAGATCAAAAGCTGAATAATAATCAAAAAAGTTTCCTCCCCCACCTCAAGAACCACAGAACATCCTCCAAACTGTTTTCATGCACATTACACTCTGCTTGGATTTTAGATCGGATTTTTTCCCCCTGTATTTGTAAAATGTTTCTGTTCAAAAACTTTTTTTGGAATTTCACACGTAAGTGCACTGTATTATTTCAACCCCTGCCTCGCCCCATTAATTCTGTGCCATCCCAGGATTGTCTTTCTCTCAAATGCATATTTTCTTATTAAATATATATACACATATATGCATATATGTGTATGTATGTATACACATCCAATTGGTGTTACTCATATGTACATGGAATTAGAGATGACCACTTAGACTTGCATGACCTATCAGGAGCTCCTCTATGATAAAAACGGACTTTTCCTCCCACAGTAGCCATGACTGTCTGGAGCTCGTCCATTAGGATAGGGTCTTAAAAGCCTTTCTCAGTCCACATCAGTGTGTCTACTGTTGTGGTCTTTTCAGGTCTTGTGAAAGCAGCTATAACTTTAAGAGTTCACAGGTGCAAAGTCTCTGTCTTGTCTTGAACAGAATAGATGGAAGGAATTCCATAGTCCACTTTTTCTTATATTTCAACAACTCCTCCAAGATATAACCTGAGCCTTGGATGTGTAGAAGCTGCATTACAGATGTCTCGGGGAGGGCTGAACACTCCACAGCCATTTATTCTCTACACTTGGACTAGTTGTAGTTCTTTGTATTATTCTCCATCTGCAGTGAAAGAAGAAAAGAAGGAGAAAGAAGGAGAAGGGGAAGGAGAAGGAGAAAACTTCAATGAGGTGTGAAAGTTACATTTAACTAGGGATATGGGAATAAATATTTAGAAGGCAGTTACATATTATATTAATTTAGCAAAATGGTAGTAGCCACCTCTTCTCTAAAGTCTATGTCCTTTCCAGTCATGATTCTTGATGATTTTTATGGGAACAGGCATGAGCTACCTCCTAATAAGTGGTCCTTAAATCCAATCAGACAGCTGTTGGTTACCCCCAACACTGACCATGCCTTGTGGGTTGATTGTTACTATAGTTCACAGTATTTACAGATAGATAAAGACAATTTTATACTACTTTTAGATTTATTTTACTATTTATTTATGGGGGTATTGCATGGCACCCCCATACCTCTCACACATTTATGTGTGTATATGGTTGCCCACAGACGCCAGAAGAGAACATTTTGAACTATAGATTTCAATGGTGTAGGCTTTAAGAGTTCATAGCAATGTGTGTGAAACCTCTTTCATTTACCCAGGTTCTTCTCAGCCCCTATGACATAGCTCCTCAAGGTTAGGGAAGTAATTTGCAAGGTCACCTCCATGTGAGTTCCCACCAGACCCTTTCCCATGGGAATACAGGACGTCTTTCTGGGAAAGACATGGAGGCAGGAAATTATGAGGCTTCTCTCAAAAGACAGGGACCTAACACTTCCTGAGAAGTAGACCCTTGATAAAGCTTTCCTTAACTATTGAGTTTCTGTTTTCTGGATGAATCTAAAAGAGGAATCAACAAGGATGCCTACAGTAACCTCTTGTCCTTTTCCTTCCCTGGATGAAATATCCTATCCACTTTACCCACAGATACTTGAAGGAAGGTCAATAACCTGGTCTGTACACCATGCTAATTCTAGCAATTATGAAAACAAGCAGTCAAGAAACACACAGAAATATTATTTAATTGTATTAGTGATCAAAACTTCAAAAAGTGCAGCATAATCTAAGTGAGAATTTTGAGCAGCAGATTTAGGCGATGTGGCAAGGATAGATAATAAAGAAAGTGTTTAGCCTTGCCTTCCTCTCCTACTCTGCTACAGACACGACTTTTTTATTATAAAGCCACCTCCTACAAAAATGCTATAAAAGTATACCTTTATATATATGCTGTATAAATACTCTCCATAAGCTTAAGCTACTAGCATCTAGATCATAAAACTTTGTTCAATAAAAAGGTCATCAATTTAACAGATGGTCTTAGAGAACATTTCTTATATGTCAGGAACTAGTCCAGTGGCTACCAAAAAAGCAAGCAATGTGGGGAAGGAATGGCAGGAAGAGGTATAAGAGGAGGGTGAGGAAAAGGAAGAAGAGGAAGGAAAGGAAGAATGGGGGAGGGAGGAAATTTTAGTGCCATGCATGAGGCAGAGGCAGAAAATGAATAACATGAAACAATGATATGTGCCAGGTGGTAGTGGCACGTGCCTTTTTATCCCAGCACTTGGGAGGCAGAGGCAGGCAGAGCTCTGAGGTCAAGGAAAGCCTGGTCTACAGAGTATGTTTTAGGACAGCCAGGGCTACCCAGAGAAACCCTGTCTTGAAAAAACAAAAGTAAGAACAACAAAAACAATGGCATATAATGTATGCTAAGACCTGAAACAAGGATTTAAAAATTGGCCAAAGAAGGCTGGGTGTGAGAGTATGTGATTAAGGGTGGGAGCTGAAAGTTTAGGCAAAGAGGTTGTAGCTCTCTGGGTAGGTACCACACAAACAAATACCAAACATCTGAGTTGCAGAGACTGGATTGTATCAAGATTGTAGCAGAAGAAACAACCAGACTTTGGTCAGGAGCCAGGTTGGATAAGGTCTGTTGGGCCATGCTTGGGTTTATAACTTCACTGAGAAAGACATAATCAGAAATACATTTTAAAACTGCTTTGCTGGTTCATGTGGGGGAAATCCATAAGAAGGTAATAAATTAAATCAAAATAGATTAGCTTCAGTAGGAGAACAGGTGCCTCGTCTCACTGCAATTTGATATACCAAGGATATCTGATATACACAGCAGGGCTGCCCTTTTCTGAAAAGAAAGGAAGAGTAGATTGGGGTGGGGAAGTTGGGGAGGGACTAGGAGGAAAGGAGGGAGGATGGGGAAACTATGATCAGGTTGGGAAAAATTAATTAATAAATAAAAATAAATTATAAAAATCTATGAAAATAGAGCCTTTCACAATGTTCATAAGAGAAAATGGTCCCACCAGAATGTAAGCACACAATCTATGGTTTGGGACTCCAGTCCCTAGAACTGTGGCAATGAAAAGCTCTGTGCCCTGAACTCTGGTGTTTTGGTATGATAATTAGAAGTGGCTAAGACAGGCAAACATTTAGACTAGGGTGGCCACAGTGGAGACAAGTAGCAAAAGGAGCTTGAGGTACTTTGAAGGGAGATGTTACAGAGCTGATGGTGTGAGGAATAAAGAGCCAAACATGCAAGCTTTTGGTGTTTCGTCTTGCCTTGGACCATGATGTTTGCACTCAGTCTCTTTCTGTGTGGTGTGCTACTTAGAGCTAGCCAAGGTATGTAACATTATCATTCAGCCAAATGGCCTTGCAGGCAGTTTTCAGCAAGGTACACACTCTGCAGGGAGTCATCAGCTAGCCCGATGTGGACATAATGGAAAGGTTTATAAGCATGCCTGTAGAAAGGGCAAACGCACAGAGAGTCTGCAGGGTCTGGAGCATGCGCTGTCCAGGAGGTATTCACGGAGTATGAGGTAGTAATGATCTACACTGGCTCAGCTGAACAAGGCAAGAGGCAGGTGGAAATGCACGTGGGGAAAATAAAAGAAAAGAACTTACCTTCCCCTTCTCCAACTGGAACTTAGGGGATTCAAAATTCTCTTCTTCTTGTGGGTTTTAGGAAGACTCATGCAACCAAAAGGCAGATTTAAATGAAGTTTTTTGATTTAAACAAAAACTTTATCATGAAAAGCCCAGGAAAGTGCAATAATCAACACATTCTCAGAAAGAAACATGTCATGGAGACATGGAGAAGTATTCTTATTACAACAGCAGCAATTTAGATAAAGCTATAATTTTCATTGCTAAACTCCACCATGTAACTGTGTACTTTCCCGAGGAACGGTATGCAAAATCTGGCATCCCACTGGAGGCAGAGAAAGGTGATAAATCAACTGGACCTTATTGGGGAGGAGTGACGTGACGGCAGTTTGTGCTACCAAAAACCTTTGCTGTTAGTTTAATGGGGGGGGGCGTAAAACAGATATTAAATATTAGTTATCATATAATCCTTATCACTTAAATCAGTCCTAACATAGTCAGGAGAAGAGAATGAGCATATTGCTATATTCTCATAAAATGTTGTTAATACTGCTATAAAATTATTTTGAAAAGCAGAATCTGAAAAAAAATATTAAGTTAACATCTACATAATTGGCCAAGATAAAAAACACATTCCCGGTCCAGCTCCAGAGAGGCAGAGGCAGAGAGAGAGATGAGCACAGTAATGACTAGAAGAATGTACAATTGAGTAATCCCTATTTTGAAAACTTGAAATGCTTGTTTTCTTCTTTTTAACCATCTAGAATAAGCTAATATTGCCTGATTGCAAAAATGTAAATCCATTCTAGAGTCCTACCCATGACTATGGCTTCAGGGGCTGTTGACATCCTTCTTGTCTTAGTTACTGTTCGTGTCACTCTGACCAAACTATCTAGGAACAGTTTAAATAAAAGGACTCATTTGCTTGGGCTCATGATTTCAGAGGAATCGGTCCTAATAGGGAGGGTGGGGCAGCTCTGAGTACCTCGTGTATCGGCAGGCAGGAAGCAGAGGAGATGGGCGACAGAAAGAAGCCAGAGCAAGAGAGCCCCTAAGGACCTCGCCCACTCTTCACCTTCCAATCATTGGTGTATGGATGCATCACGGATTAATCTGGAGTTGTTTCTTTTGGACCACTTAGCTCATAGCAATTTTGGTATAGGTCATGTTATTACTGATTCTTGACACCTAGCCAGGACACATCCAATTAGAATCCTTGAGATTTGTTTCTGAGTGTCTGCTACTTGGATTGCTTCAATGAGGTCCTTTGATTTGGATCTAACGTCCCACAGTCACACATTAGAAATTTATTTTTATATGAAACAATATTAAAAGGAGAGGCTGTTAAGTGGTATGATGTCATAGGGGGGTTTTCTGAAGGACTAGGGCTGTTTATTATTAAAGGAGTAGATTTATTATGAGTATACAGTTGACCTATCTGATCTCTGTCCTGGGCTCACTTTCACTTTCACCACGCTATGAAGTAACAAGAAGGCCCTCATCATAGGCTAGTACCATACTCATTGAGCTAAATAAATTCTGTTTGTCTAAATTACTCAGCTTATCATATTCTGTTATAGCAGTAGAAAATGTGACAAGGTGTGATGAACACAGCCTGGAAACTACTGAGGTGGTCTGTGTGTCATTTTTAACCCTTCATTATCCACATCTGTGTTAAAAAAAAATCAAATGAAGTTTCCTAATGACATTTGAACACATAAATACCAGCTCACTGTTGCAAGGAACCGCTTATTTGTCCAGGCAACCCAGAAACAAAATAATCAAATAGAAACTGTTTTAATTAAAACACTGCTTGGCCCATTAACTCTAGCTTCTTATTGGCTCTTATATTAATTTAACCCATTTCTAGTAATCTGTATATCGTCACATGGCAGTGACTTACTGGCAAAGATTCGGCCTGTCTGACTCTGGCAGGTCCATGGCGGCTCCCTGACTCTTCCTTCTTTCTCCCAGCATTCAGTCAAGTCCCCTCCCCCCAGCCTGCCTACCTAAATTCTGCCCTATCAACAGGCAAAGGCAGTTTCTCTATTCATTAATGGTAATCACAGCCCACAGGGGACTCCCACATCAGCTCACAACTTTACTACCCTGCTTATTTACAGCCTCAAGCAACTGTTGAATAATCTAAGCATAAGTTTTGCTATAGTTTCCTCCTAAGGCTATCAACAAGGCCATGTGATCTTTCACCCAACTTAAAATTGTCTATTAACTTTGAAGCCTTGGCTATTTTCCCATATACAGGCAAATTCCACAATCTCTGCTCTGTTTACTTTTTTCTTCATCCCATTCTTGTTGTCACCAGCCAAACTCAGAACCTCAGTCTTCCCAGGGAACAATATAGCCTTCCTACTGGAGTATCTGTCTCTACTTCTGTCCTGATCTAACTTGCTCCTTAGCTTCCCCAGGGATCCTCCAATCATGCTTCTCTTCTCGTAAGGTGCAATAGCTCATCCTGAGAAGAGCAGCCAATCATATTAAGACTAAAACCTACTTGTTTGGTTTTCATGAGCTCAACTCAGAATTTCAGCTTTGTTTTTATTATTTTCCTACTCATACCCAAGTTTATCAATAAGCACTTGCTTATCCTGTGAAACAAGAACAACTCCCCCCTCCTCATTTTTACTGGCCAATCATAGCCCTCATTTTTCAATTTCATTCAGAAAATGCCTCAATGGTAAGGACTTTATACTTCATTGCTTTACTATTCGTCTGAAACCCTGCTGTCTGTGCCTCTCTTAGGAGACTTTCACATGCATCTTTATAAAAATCACATGAAGAGCTGCCTCCTTAAGGCTCAGATAATTGAACCCTTTGTCCCCAGTTGGTGCTACTATTTGAGGGGGTTGTGGCACTTTGGGGAGGTGGAGCTTTGTTGGAAGAGGCATGATGCTAGGAGTGGGCTTTTGTTACTTATGTTAATATATTTAGTCCACTTGCTGCTGGCTCTTGCTTTTGTTCTTGCATTTGGAGATGTCAACTCTCAGTTTCCTGCTCCTGTTGAGGGGCCTGATTTTGCTGCTATGCCTACTCACCAAGAAGGGCTCCAATTGTTCTGAATAACACTTTTATTATAAGTTTATTTTATTATAAGTTGCCTTGGTCCTGGTATTTTGTAACACAAACAGAAATTGATAGAATGTGGTTCACCTTTTCCAAGATGTCTTAGTATTTATAAAATGTGAAATAAATTTAATATCAGAAAGAAGTTTAATTCACAAATATAGACAGTGATGCCTACATCTACCAGTAGGCCCAGTGTGTTAGGTGCCCCAGTTTTTACAATGTATCAATCACACTTTTTTAAAAAGCTAAAGCCAACTATAGTCTCAAATTTAAGCCTCCCGTGGAACTCCGTTGAAGTACTGACTCTGGTTCTCCATAATGCTTTGAGTATACACCTGGAATGGTTGCTTATAAAGACCAAATTCAAATGTCAATACCTAGTGAGTAGAAAGAAACTGCTGGACAGGACTGACTCAGACATCTCCCAGAAAACTTTTTCTTTCTGGGGTTAAGTCGAAATGCATCACTGTGCTCCTTCTGAGTTTCCATCCCAGTTATCCCGGTTTTAGAGTCAGAAATTTAATAGCAAGCTTGTGGGTGATGGGGCATTTCTGTAGGTAAACACATTAATAAGACACAGCTGTAGAGACACAGAGCCACTCCATGGAGCTTTTCCTATGCAAGGCATACAGAGAAGGGGCAGATAGAGTAAAAGCCATTAGGAAGTCACTAAAGGAAGCCATGGTGTTTCTGTCTCATTGTTGTCCATTATACAATGGGACAAACTTAAAAATAAAGTTTATTATTTTTCAAAAAGTGATCTTTATAGGACACAACTAGGAAGTATGCTGGCTCCTCTGTAGAAAATTTTTATTTAAGAGGCTATGAAAGATTATCATTTGCTCTTAAAAAATGTTTGATACTTAGAAAATAAAGCAGCATTGGCTTTAGTTTCTGAACATCTGTCTCCAAGAATTTTCAAGGGGAAATTATCCAGAATCCACATTTGAAGACCTATGTATTCATGAAACATAACAGCAAAACTCCCCTTTTAAGAAGAATTTTATCCAAGTACTTAAAATCTCTCAGGTTTAATTTTCTCTAGGCTATGTAACACTCCTAAGAATCCCAAATTCACTGTTGTTGTATTTATCCTTTTCACACAAAACCATGCTCAATCCATGTTATAGATGGTTTTATTTCACTATGAGCAGTAGTCTCAGTCTCCCTGTAATGTGTGGTTCATCTTTACTGACCTAAATCTAAGAGTGTGCCACATGAAGTCAGACCATAAACTCTTCATCTATCCTGTAGCCGCTCAGTTCTCAGCCTTGACCTTTTACTGCAGCAAGCTACTCAATGTCTCCCTCCTTCTTTTACATACAAAATAAAGGTAATGATGCTGTGATATCCAGCTCATGAGATTATTACAAGATACATGTGAGGTTGGGCAGCACCTGGGGAAAGGGATGGAGAATATATGTATGCTGATAAACATTGATGATAATGTGCTAAAATGGTTGCCCTAGCAATATCTCTGAGACCCTTGACTGAAAGTACACTATAGAGCAGATACTTTATCATATTTTTAATAAATAATGTTATATTATGAGCAAAATGTGGTGTGGGAGAATTGTCTGTATTCTGTCAATCATATTTTAATAAAATGCTGATTGGCCAGGCAGGCAGTATAGGCGGGAAAGCCAGACAGGAAGTAGGGGTGGAGCAAAGAGTCTGGGAGTATTCTGGAAGTAGAAACTCCCTCACGATTCCTGCGTAGAACACCGAAGAGGCAACATGTAAGCTGTCACACTGAGAAAGGTACTGAGCCCATGTGGCTAACATAGATAAGGATAATGGGGTAATATATGTTATAAGAGTTAACAAGAAGCCTGACCTAATGGGCCAATCAGTTTATAACCTTATGGAGTCCTGTGTGTGATTTCTCTTTGGGAGTTGCCAGTTGTGGGGTACCGGGCGGGACAGAAACCCCAACAAGCTGGCCCCGTCATGTTACAAAAATGATTCCTCACCAGTCTGCTTACTGCTGACACTTGTACTTAATAACCATGAACTTGAATTTAAAACATTAGCTTTCTCTCCCATACCATGCTCTCTCTACCGTATCATAGGAGTTCCCCTTCCCATGTGTTCAATTACTATCACATTTTCTTCCTCTCCACACACTTTGAATCCCTGCTTCATCTTTCTTCTCCTCTGATGACCTCATTTTTCTTTGGCTTGAAAAGCCCTGGGAGGTGAGTGTGCATAGCTGCTCCCCCACAGCTGTGCCCCTGTACTATTCATAGCATTGTCCTCCACAGTCCTCATCTTCTGCAGATCACTGTACAGGATGGGCTGCACCTTCCGCTTGTGCCCTTGCAATGTCCCCAGCTACTCTCACCTATTCAAGCACATGTCTGTGGCCTTCTCCTCCCGTCATTTCGACATCTCCTTTATACTGCTTCAGAGTATAGAAACAAGCTATCATTTCTCGGCTTAAAGAGAATATTATCTTGGCTTTACTTCTTCTTCAAATTGCCAATGTATTTCTCTTTCTTTTACTGGGAAATTCATCAAGAGCTTTCCTTTGCTACCTCTAGGTTCCTTTCTCTTTGAGATCTGGTCCAGTCAGAATGACATCTCAACAAGTTCTCTGAGGTATCTCTTGTGCTAGGTAGTCATGATTTCCACTTTTTATCAATATAGTGACTGGTCCTCTGTTACTCTTATCTCATGTGACTGATAAACAATATTTGACACAGTTGTGTCTCTTTATTAATTGCTGTTTTTGCTTCTGGAATATAGTATTTATGTGGCTTACACCCGGTATGGGGTTTCTTTGCCATTTTTCTTTAAAGGTTCTCCCTGTTTTCTTGTGATCATATTATAGGAATCATTCAATTGCTGGGGGCGGGGGTCTTGATTGTGGTGGCCAAGTACACTTTTAACAATCTAGTCTATGAGTCAAATATTCCACAATTCATGTCTTCAACCCAAACACTGGCCTTACATTTAGAATTAAGTATTCAATTACGCTTGACCACTTTGGTTACATAAGCAGTGTTTGATCTCATGGCCTTAAATGAACTTTAGATTCTCTTCTAAGTCCTATTTTTCTTCTTACCTAATTATCTCAATAATAGGCAACTAATTTGTCCAGCTTCTGAGTCATCTACGATTCCTACTCTCAGTTTGTTAGGTGGAGAATACTGCAACGCCCCTCTCATTAACCAAGAGTAATAATAATGATGATGATGATAATAATAATAATAATAATAATAATAATAATAATAATAAGAAGAAGAAGAAGAAGAAGAAGAAGAAAGGCAGGAAGGAAGGAAGGAAGGAAGGAAGGAAGGAAGGAAGGAAGGAAGGAAGGAAGGAAGGAAAAAAGAAGGAAGGAAGGAGGAAAAGAAAAAGTAAACCGTCTTGGAAACTAGTCTTTTGGTAGCTTCCCCTTCCCCACATGCCTTTTACCTTCTCTTCCTTTAATTCTATGATATATATTAATTACCTTCTCATACAGAGTATCTAATTATTGTATTTATTGGTCTTAATTTGTTTTGCTGTCTGCATACAGCAGATTGCTCTTTGCGTCCTTCATTCTACTTCTTTTTAAAGGTTTGTTTTCTAAGTGTGTGTGTGTGTTTGCACACGCGCGCGTCTGTCTGTCTGTCTGTCTGTGTGTCTGTGTTTGTGTGTCTCTGTGTCACCGTGTCCAGGTGCCCAAGGAAACCAGAGGTACTAGATTCCCTTGAAGGTCGAGGCACAGGCATTTTTGAGTTCTGGGACTTAATTTCAG